CAGAACACGTCGCGAGGTGGGGTGGTAAAACTGCCAACCAGGCGCGTCAGGGGGGAAGCCGAGGAAGACGCAGGGAACAGCACGAGAGGACAGCTTGTCCGCAGACAAGTCTCGGACGAAAGCCCGAGATCCCCAGACACGGAACGCAGACGCATCACCACCGCAGAGTGGGGGAGGTCTCCGGCAAGGAGACCCGGGGCTGTAGGTTGATCTGCTGTGCCGCGTACTGAACCGCAAATGGCCACAGAAAATGGGGAGCAGCCGCATGGATCATGGACGTACGAGCGACGTCCATGACCATGCCAATGCGGCGCTCAGCAATCCCATTTTGCTGTGGAGAGGCCGGAAGCGTGAACGTCTGGCGGATGCCCCTCGCACGACAGAAGGCTCGCAGAAGGTCGGAGGAAAACTCTCCACCTCTGTCGGAGTGCAGACGCAGAACAGGAAAGTCCGAGCCGAAACTCTCTCTGAGCTGGAGACGAGCAGCGCGGATCCAATCGATCAACACCCCAGTGACCTCACCCTTGGTGCGCAAGGGGAAGACTGTGGTGTAACGCGAGTAGTCGTCAACCACCAGGAGGAAGTAACGCTCGTGACCCTGTCCACGGACGCGGGCTGGGCCCCACACGTCCATGTGAAGAGTCTGCAGCGGAGCCTCTGTCGGCGGAAACTCGGAGGAGTGAGGAGCGGCGCGCTGCCGTCCCTCGACGCAAGGAACGCAGGTAGGGGCAGGCCCCGGAGGAAGGGGAGGGAGGGACCTGGGGAGACCAGAGACAAGGACACGGGAGGCCATGCCTCGGAGACGAGGCAGGGAGGGGTGACCAAGGCGGTGGTGCCAGAGGAGGGTCTGGTGGGACAGGAGGCGACACGAGCAGGGGGCAGACTCAGGACCAGACCTGGACGCTGCAGCAAACACCTGACCCGACGCAGCTACCTGACCAGACGCAGGAACCGGAGGAGACTCAGTAGTCAGTGTGTACAGGCTCGACCCCGGCTGACGGGTAAACGTGGCCAAGTGTCGGCCCGTCCGAGCACACGTGCAGTGGGTCACCCGCTGACTCGCAGGAGTGAACTGGTCAACTCCCCCATCCTGCAGGTCAGCACCACTCACCAAGTTCGTAGAGAACGAGGGGAGGTAAAGACCTGACAGGGAGCCAGACGGGGCCGCTGGACACGGTAGCACAGTGGAGAAGTGGGCAAGGATAGGACCCCCAGAGGGGTCTGCCAGGGAGACCGCAACCGGCCGACTGAGCGGCGTGAGGGTGGTGCGGTCTCGAAAGAAGGAGCGGGAAGCACCCGAGTCAAGGGTGAAGGTGTGGAAGACCGCAGTAGGGGCAGTACCAGAGAGAGCAGACTCACCAGCACCTGGAGCAGTAGACTCACGAGCACCTAGAGCAGCAGCCTCACCAGCACCTGGAGCAGGAGATGTACCAGCACCTAGAGCAGCAGCCTCACCAGTACCTAGAGCAGCAGACTGGATACCGGGGTCTGGCGGCACACACAGGTAACAGGCACCCTCAGCACTAGTAGGCAATGCATACATGGCAGTGAGGATAGCATCATATTCAAGAGCATAGATATCTACCCTCTGCCTAAGCAGCTCCACCCAGTCAGGGAGCTCAGCCGTGTCGCCAAACTCTGTACGCCAGGCGTCGCTCAGACGGGCGAAGCAGCGGGACTCTGTGTGACCAAACGTCCCGCAAGGCTGACCAGTCCGAGCACCAGTGCGAATGACGTACGGGCAGCGAGCAGTACCCCGTGACCCTCCACGCTGAGCGTACCACTCACGAAGCTGCTGGGGCGAAAGGACCGCGCGTAGACGACGCTGTAGCTGCACCTGGCCACTACAAGAAGCTCCCGAACTACTCACTCCAGGACGACTCCCACTACGGCCACCCCGACAACCCCAACTAGCGTACCACTCACGAAGCTGCTGGGGCGTGAGGGACTCACGCGGACGTCGCTGGAGCTGCATCTGGCCACCGCCAGGAGCAGCAGTAGCAGTAGTAGCCGCAGTAGCAGCAGTAGCAGCAGTAGCAGTAGTAGCAGTAGTAGCCGCAGTAGCAGCAGTAGCAGCAGTAGCAGTAGTAGCAGCGCGGCCACCCCTACAACCCCAACTAGCGTACCACTCACGAAGCTGTTGGGGCATGAGGGACTCACGCGGACGGCGCTGGAGCTGCATCTGGCCACACCAGGAGCAGCAGTAGCAGTAGAAAGAGCAGTAGCAGCAGGAGCAGCAGTAACAGCAGTACGGGCAGGGTAGTGCTCACCAGTGGCTAGAAGGGCAGGCGTACGACGGTAGCAACGGCGAGGCCGCTACCACTGCAGGGCGAGGGCTCCGCGGCAGCTGCAGGGGCGGCTGCTCCAGGGGCTGCTGCTCCAGGGGCCAGGTGCGGCTGCTGCAGGGGCGGCTGCTCCAGGGGCCAGGGGCGGCTGCTGCAGGGGCGGCTGCTCCAGGGGCCATGGGCGGCTGCTGCAGGGGCGGCTGCTCCAGGGGCCAGGGGCGGCTGCAGAGGTCCAGGGGTGGCTGCTGCAGGGGCGGCTGCTCCACGGGCCAGGGGCAGCTGCTGCAGGGGCGGCTGCCCCAGGGGCCAGGGGCGGCTGCTCCAGTGACCAGGGGCGGCTGCTGCAGGGGCGGCTGCTCCAGGGGCCAGAGGCGGCTGCTGCAGGGGCGGCTGCTCCAGGGGCCAGGGGCGGCTGCTGCAGGGGCGGCCGCTCCAGGGGCCAGGGGCGGCTGCTGCAGGGGCGGCTGCTCGAGGGGCCAGGGGCGGCTGCTGCAGGGGCGGCTGCTCCAGGGGCCAGAGGCGGCTGCTGCAGGGGCGGCCTCTCCAGGGGCCAGGGGCGGCTGCAGAGGTCCAGGGGCGGCTGCTGCAGGGGCGGCTGCTCCAGGGGCCAGGGGCGGCTGCTGCAGTGGTGGCTGCTCCAGGGGCCAGGGGCGGCTGCTGCAGGGGTGGCTGCAGTAAGTAGCAGCAGCGGCAGCAAGTAGAAGCAGCTGCAGCAAGTAGAAGAGCTGCTGCAGCAAGTAGCAGCAGCGGCAGCAAGTAGAAGAGCTGCTGCAGCAAATAGCAGCAGCGGCAGCAAGTAGAAGAGCTGCTGCAGCAAATAGCAGCAGCGGTAGAGCAGCAGCACAGGCGTAGTGCAGCGTGCAGGCCTGGCGTGGGCTGTACTGGCCGCGCGCGGGCCTGACGTGGCCTGTACGGGCTGCGCGAATGCCTAGCGCGGACTGTACGGGCCGCTCTCGGGCCTGACGTGGCCTGTACGGGCTGCGCTAACGCCTAGCGCTGACTGTACGGGCCGCGCGCGGGCCTAACGTAGGCTATACGGGCCGCGCGCGGGCGTGGCGCGGGCTGTACGGGCGGCGCGAAGGCCAGACGGGGGCTGTACGGGCTGCTCGCGGGCTACGCGCGACAGGACAGGGCAGGGCCGCGGGGCAGCGAAAATCGATGCACCTAAGGGCGCATTTCGGGCAGAAAAAGGAAGAGAACGCGATTCAGGCAGGAACACGGAAGGTTTAACGGTGGGCCCTAAAAAATTCGTCCTAGGCTAGGAACGTCCTAGCTCTTAATACCATGTGAGAGTAGTATGAAGGTATGATGGGATTAGGGCAAGGAGGGGGATACAAAGAAGTGTCGAGCAAAATTATGTACCCCCTAAGGCTAAACCCACTACAGCCTAGATAACATTAAACATATAATTTGACAGAAGGCTCTAGCAGGTGCATTTGAACATGAGCCACTTGAATGTGCAATAACATTCTCGTTGTTGAACGCTTTTCCCTATTCCTGTAGGGATTCGTACGCTTGCTAGGCATTTGTCGGCAAGAACGGCCGAAATCATAGGCGCCGAACTTTTCTTTGCGCAAGAACCAAGCCGAGAAGGCTCTAATAGGTGCATTTGAAAATGAGCCATTGAATATGCAATAACATTCAGGTTGTTGAATGCTTTTCCCTACGCCTCTAGGGATTCGTGCGCTTGCTAGGCATTTGTCGGCAAGAACGGCCGAAATCATAGGCGCCGAACTTTTCTTTGCGCAAGAACCAAGCCGAGAAGGCTCTAAAAGGTGCATTTGGACATGAGCCGCTCGAATATGCAATGAGATTTAGGATGTTGAATGCTTTTCCCTACGCCTGTAGGAATTTATGCGCTCTCAAAGCATTTGTCGGCAAAAACAGTCGCAATTATAGGCGTCGAACTTTTCTTTGCGCAAGAACCAAGCTGAAAAGGTTCTAATAGATGCATTTGAACATGAGTCACTCAAATATACAATAACATTCAGGTCGTTGAATGTTTTTCTCTACGCCTACAGGAATTCATGCGCTCTCAAAGCATTTGTCGGCAAAAGCCGAAATCATAGGCGCCGAACTTTTCTTTACTCATGAACCAAGCCGAAAAAGCGACGATTTGGTCAAAGTGAGCACTTGGTCCAAATAAACACCTGGTCCAAGTGAGCACCTGGTCCACGCGACGACTTGGTCTCTGCAACTACTTGGTTCAAGCAACTATTTGGTCCAAGTGAGCGCTTGGTCCAAATGACGACTTGGTCCAAGTGATGACTTTGTCCAAGTGAGCTCTAGGTCCCAGCGACGACTTGGTTCTAGCGACGACTTGGTCCAAGTGATGACTTGGTCCGAGTGAGCACTTGGTCCAACTAAGCACTTGGTCCAATTGAGCACTTGATCCAACCCTGGTTATTGTGCTGTGTGCTGTGTGCATGCAGGACCCACACAGATTTGCAAGAGCAAGGGAGTTTATGGCTATGAACGTGGAGTTAAAAGAAGAGACATTTCAAGAGGAGCAATAACCTTCTGTGCCCACACTCAGTCACTTAGCCTCCTGAGCCCGTTGTACGGTATCAGCAAGCATAGGCCTTCTGCTGCACAAAAAACACATCTTGGCTTAATACCAGTGGGTCAATGTAAGGCAATAAGGCTAACTGCTCTGTAGGGTGGTGCATCCTAGTTAGCGATGCAACATTTCTACTTTTTAGACCAGGTGCATGCCTAGCCTCCGTGCAGTGTGGAAATGAAAGTGACTCTATCGCCATCCTCCACTGTGGACTCGAGATTGCCTGTGAGCTCCCAATCCACGTCGTTTATCAGCACTAGCACACCCGGTCGCCTGCACAGCCCATGGTAACCAGACGAGGATGGTGGGGAAGAGGCAGAGAGAGGGAGAGAGAGAGAGAGAGAGAGAGAGAGAGAGAGAGAGAGAGAGAGAGAGAGAGAGAGAGAGAGAGAGAGAGAGAGGAGTAAGACGGGGTTGAGACTCTAGATTCCCTGTGAGCTCCCAATCCACATCGTTTATCAGCACTAACACACCCGGTCGCCTGCACAGCCCATGGTAACCAGACGAGGATGGTGGGGAAGAGGCCGAGAGAGAGAGAGAGGAGTAAGACGGGGTTGAGACTCTAGATTCCCTGTGAGCTCCCAATCGACATCGTTGATCAACACTAGCACACCCGGTCGCCTGCACAGCAGAGATGGTAACAGGATGACGATAGTTGGGGAGAGGCAGATGGAGAGGAATGAGAGGGCATGTTGAAAAGAGAGGATGCTAAGGGGAAACTGAAGTAGCACCATTCACTTTGTGAAGTCTACTCATGTAAAACACCTACTGAAGCTCCATTCGGTTCGACGACGAGGATGCATGATGGCAGAGAAAGCAGAGGAAGCAGAGGAAGCAGGGAAAGCAGAGAAATTCACATGGAGTGCAGAGGATGCGATGGGAACAATCGGTGTTGGAGGGGGTGCGGTGCGGCAACAGACAGCGAGGATGCTGTGAGCAGTGTGTGTGACTCACACGGTGGGCCCCTTGAGGAACATCTCTGGCCGCTCCTTAAGCATGTGCTCCCCCATTGTGAGTCAGACTCGAAACACACTCGGAGGGGAGGAGGTGTGGCCTCCTGCGGACAGTGCTTGTGGTGAGAGGGGTGTGTGTGACTCACACAGTGGGCCCCTTGAGAAACATCTCTGGTCGCTCCTTGAGCATGTGCTCTCTCATCCATGCCAGCAGCGGCGCCATGGATAGCTGTTGTGAGAGTGGGGGATAAGGGGAGTGAGGAAGGTGGGGGAGTGAGGGAAGGGGCGAGGCATTCTTGGAATGAAATGATACTGATTGGTGGTAGGCTTCGCGTGTGAGTGTTGCATGTGACCCATGTGAGTGTGCGTTCGGACTACTGAATGTGAGCAGACATGTGCATGCATTTCAGGACCGACGATGCATGGGAATATAAGAGCGGTAGCTACACCTCACCTGCCCATCCTCCCCCGTTACAGTCACATCCACGCTCTGCTTCTTCTCTCCGCCGAACAGCAGCTCCAAGCCTCCGCTGCGGGAAGGCGGAATTGGAGAAGCGAGGAGAATGGAGGAACGCGGGGATAATGGGCGACGCGCGGAGGCGGGGGAACGCAAGGGAGAAAGGGGAACGCGGAAATGTGTGACGGCGCAAGTCAGGGGAGCGGAAGAGATAGAGGATGCGCGGCGAACCAACGACGGAACGACGAGTCCGCCTTACAAGGTGAGCGGGAAACCCGGCGGGACATGTGGCGACCCACCTGAACTCGATTTGCAGCCGCACCATGCGGACAGCCGTCGCCGCACCGCCACTGGATTAAAGCGTTTCCCGCGCCGAGTCCTCGGGGCGCGTCGGTGGGCGCCGAGAAATCTACGCCGAGACTACAGCGCGCGTGCACGAGTCGCGTTCCGAGGCGCACTGTTCGTTAGAGGACGGCGCGATTTTCTAACAGGTTTTGAAGCAACGGTCAGTATTGGTTAGATTTCCCCGTATCCAGTCCTCGCGAGCGGCAACAGCGCGTAGTGCCACGTCAGGCGCGACGGAAATCAAAAGCCTGGAGATTGTCGAGTGGGAGGGAATCTATGGCGCCTTGGTGGAGTGGATTGAAAGGGCAGTGGGTGGGGGATTTGAGAGTTCGGAACAGCTTTTTGGTAGCACCGAGTCCAAGACAGTTTCGGTGTATGAAGCAAACAATATCACGAAGAAGTTTATAGCAAAACAAGGAGCAGACTCAATTTGCCCCGTCCGAATCTCAGTAGACCAAATTCCGTCCATCAGGCTACTACTGTTGCTGCTGCTCAGCTCAGCAACTAAATACGCGTTTCGTCCCTCCCTCCTCATTTTCGAAAGTGAGGGATTGGCTATACTTCGCACTCGCAGGCACTCGCAGGCACTCGCAGGCACTCGCAGGCACTCGCAGGCACTCGCAGGCACTCGCAGGCACTCGCAGACACTCGCAGACACTCGCAGACACTCGCAGACACTCGCAGACACTCGCAGACACTCGCAGACACTCGCAGGCACGTGCCTGCTTGCGGAGCGCGAAAATGATTTGTACCGAAGCGTGTCCGACACGCTTATAGGGTTTCCGCAACCGCCGCGCTCGTCCCGCATGTGGAGCCCTCGTCGCGCAGGCGCGATCGAGTATCCGCCACATAACAACAGACCCGCCCTTAGATTCTCTCGTGCGATCACGCTCCACTGTCGCCCGCGAACCGTCGCCTAAATCTGTCGCCGCCTATTGAACCGTCGCCGTCGCACGCCATGTCACACGGGCCGTGCGCCTGCCGCCTCCCCCTCTCCGTGCGCCCGCACTCTCAAGCCCTTCTCCCAGTGCCGAATCCCCGCGATTTGCGCCCGCTGACCCCGCCAACCGCCTTGCGGAGGCGGGATCTGGGGGGTCTCGGCGGAGATTCCCCGCGTCTGCCGTTCGCGGGGGGAGAATCCGGCGGAGCGGGGCTTTTGGCAGCGCGCGGGGCGTTTTTGCACGGAGGGGTTGCGCGGAGAGGGCCCGCCCCCGCGCGATCGCTGGGCGCGCGGGGGAGCGGGGGGGTGCACGGGGGAATGCGCGGGCGGAAACGACGAGTGTGGACCCGGCGCGGGGAAGAGGAGGAGGCGGAGACGGGGAGGGGCGGAGGCGGAAGCGATACGGATGCGAATGATTTGGGTGGGGTGTACTTGCGGAGAGGTGTGGGAAGGGGGAAGGAGGGGGGAGAGAGAGAGAAAGGGGAAGGAGAACGGGAGAGAGGGGAAGTAGTGGAGGGAAAGATGGGTGGCATGGGGGGTGCGGGTGGAGGGAGGGATGGAAAAGAGAGCGAGAAGGAGAGGAGTGATAGCAAGGAGGAGGGCGCAAGGGTATCTAGAAATGGGTTGGCTGGATCAAAGGGGATGGCGAATCCGAGAGGGGAGAGACGGAATGGAATGGCGGGAGGGGGGAATCAGAGGGAGAGAGTAAGAGAGGGAGAGGAGGGATTAGAGATATCTGAGGCGGTTGGGATGAGGGGCGAAGGCAGAGGAACGAGAGGGGTGAGAGGGGCAACAGGTGTAACAGTCACAACAGATGCAAGAGGGACAGGGGAGGAAGCAGAGGGAATGAGGGGGGGTGCTGGGAGGAGTGTGGAGGGCGGGGCAGGGGAGGTGGTGGGTGCAGTTGCAGGCACTGTTGTTGAAGCTGTGATGGGCGTTACTGGTACTGTCAAGGATGTGACGGAATCAGTGACAGAATCCGTCTTGGATACAGTGACGGACGTAAGTGAGACAATGAAGGACGTGAAGGATAGCGTGGAGGAGACTATAAAGGGTACAGTGCGGGACGTGACAGAAATAGTAAAAGAGGCAGTACAGGGCACAGTGAAAGAGGTAACAAACACAGTGACAAAGGGAAAGGAGGAGGAAGAGGAAGTGGAGGAGGAGGAAGACATGAGCCCCATGCGAATCATGCTAGGAGCGAGCGAGGAGAGAGGGAGAAAGGCACAATCCCAGCTAGGAATAATCCAGCACCGTCCCTCCATAGTCTCTCTTCTCTACAACCTCTACTCCCACATGCTCAAGCAGCCACCTCTTATCTTCTCACTCGCTGTCTGCTCCGCCCCGCTCCTCCTCTCCCTGCTCTTCACCCTGCTCTACCTCCCGGACCTGGATGGCTTGGTGGTGGAGGACACGCTCCTAGCCTACCTCCAAACCTCTGTCGCAGCTTCGGCAGCCAGTGCGCTGGAGGACGAGTCCTTCTTTGCAGGTCCGGCCATGGCTATGGCTCGGGGCATGGGATCAGCTGTGGAGTCGGCAGGAGCGGCAGCAGCGGCAGCAGCAGAAGCAGGTTCGTCTGCACTTACAACCCTCGGAGCAGCAGCAGCAGAAGCAGCAGGGTCGTCTGGAGCAGCAGCAGCAGGAGGAGCAGGAGCAGGGGGAGCGGTTGTTACTGGGTTGGCTAGCACAGGAGCATTCAGAGCCCCCGCCACAGCAGCAGCGGCAGCCGCAGCAGCAAAGGAGGCAGCATCAGGCGGCCTATTCAACGTCGTCGACGGCTCTCAAACCCTCGGCGACGCCGTCCGTGCTCTCGAGCAATCCAATGTCTTCCGCCTGGGTCCTGCCGGGATCATCCCAGGGGGGTGCGCGTGGGGGATTTTCCAAGTGCTCATGTTCTCGCTCTCGCTCTCCACAGGGCTAGAACCGGCTCTAGCACCGGCGTCGCCATACGCGCTCGTGGTTGCGAATGTGAATGCTCTGGTGGCTCAGCTGCTGTTTGTGTTTCTCAGTGGAGCGGTTTTCGCGAGGCTCACCCAGCCAGTGGATCCGATTCTGTGCTCCAAAATCGCCTGCATCACCCCTCCCTTGCAGCAGCCACAGCAGCAACAGCAGGGTGTGAACGTGCTCGGAGGTGCAGCTGGGGGATCGGGGGGGTCCCCGCCGGTTCGCTACCCTCCTGCTGCCCGTTCTCTCTCTCGCAGCATCAGCAGCGCCAACTTCGGAGGCAGCGCAGCCTTCGCCGCCTCAAGTAGTTTCCCAGCCGCTGCTGGTACTGCAGTGGCAGGAGGAGGAGGAGCAGAAGGAGGCGGGTTTGGCACGGGTGGTGGTGGGATGGGGGGCGGGAGGGGGTGTGAGCGCATGCTGCTGGTGCGGTATGTGCTGGCAGGGCCACAGCCGTGTGAGCTGGTGGATGTGAAGGTGGAGCTCACTCTCAAGCACAACACCCTCTCCTGCACCGGCCGCTTCTTTCGCCAAGTGGATCACCTTAAGCTGGTAAGCATTGTGGTGCTAGTGCATGAAGGTTAAATGAAGGTGTGAGCTGGTGGATGTGAAGGTGGAGCTCACGCTCAAGCACAACACCCTCTCCTGTACTGGCCGGTTCTTCCGGCAAGTCGACCACCTAAAGCTGGTACGGATGGTTGTTGGTGCATGATGGTTGAATGAAGGTGTGAGCTGGTGGATGTGAAGGTGGGGATCACTCAAATGTATGGCAGTGCTTGTTCCTTCAATTTGAGAGTCTTCAGTCATGTTGCCGCTGCAAGCTTCTACCCCATCCACATGAAGGTGTGATGTGCGGGCATGGTGATGTGATGTTCACAGTGCTGCCGGTTGATCATGCTGTCACCTGCTACCCTTCCCTTTCCTTCCCTGCCGTTCCACCCACCACCAGGTGCGGTCAGAGGACTCATACCAGCGGTACGGCATGACAGTTCGGCACCTGATTGACGAGTCCAGTCCGTTGTATGGCCGGTCTCGGGATGACCTCTGCCTCGTCAACGCCCAGCTCAGCCTCGCTGTAGTGAGTCAAGCACAGTCAACAGAGGTCAATGGAATGTGTAGTGAGGTATTTTGTGCTCCTAATGGCCTCCTCTTGTAGGAAGATCTTGTTTTGCTCCCTCTCCTTTGCTCAACAACCCGTCGCATCCTTTTCTACGTAAATCCCTGTTAAACCCGAAACCCTGACCCATTCTTGCCGTGCCTTGCATGCACCCAATTGTCCCGTGTCTGTCGTACCCCCTTTGTTTCCATGAGTGCAGATTGGCATGGAGCGTGCGTCCATGCAGCCAGTGTTCCACGTGGAGGACTACTTTGTAGCAGACGAAGACGTCATATGGAATGCAGATTTTGAGGATATGGTGTACCGCGATGACAAGAATAGACTTCTAGTGGACCACAGGAAGATCAGCAACTGGGTAGGGATTGAACTGTGAATGAAGCAGCCTGTACAGGGAGCATGTCTAAGGTACATTTTGAAGGGCAAGCTGACATGATGGCACATTGCCATGCCTTGCAATCCCCATGAAGTTCTTGTGAGGTTGTTTTTACTGTTTAGTCAGGTAGAGGCATGTCTGTCAGCACAGAACTCATGTCCAAACTCCTGCCACTTCGTTTCTATTGGTAATACGCCATATAGGCTTCATGGAGAGATGCCCTGCCCAGTCTCAGTTCCTACCTCATGTGTCAAGGAGGCTATCCTCTTGTTCAGTCAGCTGCATGGCAAAGTGACCATGCTTTGACTCTACCGTGCAGTACCTTTGGGATGCTCGGAGCTGTATGGGCGGAAGAGACCACACGAACGTTCATGACTTCGGGGGCAGGCTCCAACCAGCTGTGCATACTCACATGAGGCCGCAACCAGCAGATCACAGACGCTCAAGGGAAAAGGTCACAGAAGCTTTACAATTGCACAGGGAAAACTGTGCAAATTAGTCACACTATCCATTGTGAAATATCACATAAATAACCCAACCTAAGATCCCAGATTCCCAACCCTAGCTTAGGGCTGGAAGTTGCTGTCCAAGAAGCCGTTCTCGACCAAAACCTGCTCCCGCTTAGCCTTATCCAAATCCGAGTCAACCATCATCGCCACCAGCTTCTTGAAATCAACCTCGGGCTTCCACCCAAGCTTTTCCCGGGCCTTGGCCGAGGACCCGCGCAGGTTGTCCACCTCGGACGGGCGGAAGTAACGGGGGTCGATCTCGACGTACTCCTTCCAGTCCAGGTCGACGTAGCCGAAGGCTGCGATCAGGAACTGCTCCACAGTGAAGGACTCCTCAGTGGCCAGCACGTAGTCATCAGGCTGCTCCTGCTGGAGCATCAGCCACATTCCCTGTAAAATTGACAGCGGAAGACATCAAACAGGACAGGTTTCATTAGGTGTTGTTCGCTTAACTGATTGCGATGTCAGTTATTGAATGTTGTGTAAAAAAAAAAATTGGGGAAAAGGGTGTAACCAAGAAAAAAAACGGGAGGGGGAAGAGGAAGGAGTTTGACAAATGGTCACACCACAAAACATGTTCTTTACTCATGGGAAGGGATAAGAGGGAAGGGATTTAAAATGAACAATTTCTTACCTTGACGTAGTCGCCGGCAAAACCCCAATCACGGGAAGCCTTCAGGTTGCCAAGGTACAGCTTCTTTTGAAGCCCAACCTTGATGCGTCCGACAGCGCGTGTGATCTTCCTTGTCACGAAGTTCTCACCACGCCTCGGGCTCTCGTGGTTGAAGAGAATACCGTTGCAGGCGAACATGCCGTAAGCCTCGCGATAGTTCACGGTGTACCAGTGAGCAGCCACCTTGGACACGGCATAAGGAGAGCGGGGGTGGAAAAGCGTGTTCTCGTCTTGTGGAGGAGGGGTAGCGCCGAACATTTCTGAAGATCCAGCCTGGTAGTACTTCACGGAACGTCCGGAGTTCTCAATGTGGTTGCGAACAGCCTCGAGCAACCGAAGAGCTCCCGTACCGACGACATCGGCGGTGTACTCGGGGTTCTCGAAGGAGACACCGACGTGGGACTGAGCACCGAGATTGAAGACCTCATCTGGCTTAATCTGGTCAATCCAGTGACGAAGAGCGGTAGCGTCGGACAAGTCACCGTAGTGAAGCTTCAGTTTGGCCGAAGACACGTGAGGATCGCGGTAGATGTGGTCGAGACGCTGGGTGTTGAAGTTGGAAGAACGACGGATGATACCGTGGACTTCGTATCCCTTGGAGAGCAGAAATTCTGTCAGGTAAGATCCATCTTGGCCGGTAATACCGGTGATGAAAGCCTTCTTGACAGGAGCTTCGGAAGCCATCGCTGAACACTCAGAAAGTCTGGTCGATGCAGGAAGCAGGAAAATGCAATTGAGAAGATCACAGATGTTGGAGTTCGCTAAAAATGTGCCTTCAGAAATTGATGTCTCTGAAGGTAAGGAATTGTGGGAGTTTGATGGATCACTCTCCGATAATTATGCAGCAAGAAGCGCAGGCTCGGCAATGGTGGTTGGTGGAAATGCAGGTTCGGAATTTCTACCAAACTCTGACCTCGTGGCTTTAGCGGAGCCTCGTGTGGTTCGGATCTCCACCAACCAGGCAAGCGATGTCTCCCCGTTTCGTCGGAGGTGCTGTCGCGGTAAGGACGAGGTGGCGTTGCTGATTGGACATCTGCCACTGGTCAGGTGCGCTGCAGTGCCAGGTGGTTTGTCGATGGTTATCAAATGTCGCAGGTGATGTGGTTTTCGTTGGAAAAATCCTCGCCAAAACAGGTCTGGTAACGGTGCGGTCTGGCGACCTTACGACGAATAACGCGGACGGATTAAACTCACACATTGAAACAAAACTAGCCCTTTGCTATCTTATGAAAACACATTTTCTCCCATCACCAGCAAATAGTTCTCACACACCCAAATTCCACAAAGCAGCATTAGAAAGCTTTATCTGAAATCATTTTTGTCTGATTTCGTTTCATCCAGTTAAGATTTTGTATGTATACATACATATTCTATCAACTTGAATGGTGCACTACTTAGAAAATGCTCCATCCATAAGTTCCATATAGCGAACATGAGTTTTTCTTCCAATCACGTGACCCACATTCCAGGGATCCATGAGCGGCTTTGTTGCAGAAAGGCTGCTGTGCTTCCGCCAGGTGTAGTTTCGACTAGACACGTCGACGAATCCACGCTCACGTTGACATCACTGTCTGGGTTCTCGCTTCTCACTTGCCCTTGAATCTCCAACCAGAGCGTCGAGCTTCGGCGCCGCCATTCTCTCATTGGTTGAAGGCGAAAATACACGTGGCCTTGCAGCTGGTTTCGCGCGCTGAACCTCAGTCGGGAAGAATATGTGCGCCACAGAGGCGCCGCAAACTGCCCCCGATTGCTCTAAGCCACACTTCAAGGGCTTTGCGGCATCGATTGCATCTGATCGACGGGAATTGAAGGGCAAACACTCTCTGAAACTCCGCGCGCGCATGTATTCCGCCTGACATTTGCGTCAGTCAGAAAGAAGGGGACTGGAAATTTTCCCAAACTCCGCCATCAAACCACTACTCTTCCACCCCTGGCCGCACCACACGGAAAACTACATCACACTTTCGCTTATTCACGAAACCGCACTGAAAACCACACCAACCCCCCGTCCTCCTTCCCACGCACATCCATCAACTCTCGTCCTCCACACAAGTCTTCTCCCCAACTCTCGTCGCCACAGCAGTCAGCCTTGAAAGTTCATTTCAAACTTCAACATTGGGATTTACATCTTTGCGAGACTGCGACCTGTTTACTTGTCAGGCTGTTGGTCAGAACCTGCCTTAGGGATTGGCTGCTCCTGATCCCGCTCACGTCACAGGGATCGTTAACAGCTAAGCCATAAGCAACCTTAACTCGGGCTTTTTTGCCAGATCAGGTTGTTAGAACCGAAATGGCGGCCCTAAACGCGTCGCCTGTCGTCGCTCAAGCCGCGAATGCGCTTGACGCGTCAACCCTCTCCAACGCGAAAGCATCCAAGTCCCGCTCATGTGCCCTTCACAGCGGCTGCTTCGGCGAGCGCGTCGCTAAGGACGCGTCGCTGAGAGCCATCAGCGGAAAAGCCGCTCTTTCCGGCCTTGTGAAGGCGCAGAAGGCTGGCCGAAGCGGCGTTGCGCGCGCCTCGCTAGATCCTCCCAAGGCTGTCAGCGCGGACGCACCGCCGGCCTTCACGGCGTGGGGCGAAGACGCGCTGAACCCCGCTGGGAAGCGCACGGATATCAAGAAAATCATGATCCTGGGCGCTGGACCCATTGTGATTGGCCAGGCCTGCGAGTTCGACTACTCTGGCACCCAGGTGCGCTCGGGTCGGATCAATGCAGGTATAAAGTACACTTTACCACAGCCGTTCAATGTAGCTAGTCCATATTTCGTAAATGCCGACTTTGCAATGGACAAACAAATCACGTGACAGTGGAATTTCCCGGTTTTTTTTTTTCCTTTCTTTTTCATCGCATCAACCGACGGCCTGCGTGTATGCTTTCGTGCGTGCGTGATCGCCGTGATTGCAGGCGTGCAAGGCGCTGAAGGAGGAGGGGTACGAGGTGATACTGATCAACTCCAACCCCGCCACCATCATGACGGACCCCGGCACCGCCGACCGCACCTACGTCGCGCCCATGACGCCCGAACTCGTCGAGCAGGTCCGTCGCCTGCCTCGCCCGGTCCCGTTGTCCCTTCCGCTTCCTTCGGGCATTATTACCTCTGTTGGCTCGTCTGTATCTGTGTCCCTCCCTCCTCCCTCCTCCCCATCCTCCGTTCATGCCGTTGTCGGCGCTTTCCCGGCACGAGCAGCAGTCTGCATTGCCTCCTCCGTAATCGCCCCTCTTCCTTATCTGTATCCCCTCCTTTCATACCTCGTTCCTGCCCTATAAGGCACACCCGAAGCCTCCTCTGTTTCGTCTTTCCGTCCCTCCCCCATCATATTGACGCGGCAATCGCGATTCGTCCTCGCCTATCCGTACATTTGTACCCCCATTTCGATATCATTGTTCCCCGATCCACCTTCTATTTCGCCTACACATCCCCCTTCTCTTTTGGCGCCTACACAATCCCCGCTTACCGAGCTCAACCGACCTCCGAACAGTTAATCACACTCTTGCACGTCCCCATCCCGTTCTACCATCCCACCATCTCCCGATCCCCCGTCACCCGCCCACCCGCACCATCAGGTGATCGCGAACGAGCGGCCCGACGCGCTGCTCCCCACGATGGGCGGGCAGACGGCGCTGAACCTGGCGGTGGCGCTGTCGGAGTGCGGCACGCTCGACAAGTACGGCGTGGAGCTCATCGGCGCGAAGCTGGACGCCATCAACAAGGCGGAGGACCGCGACCTGTTCAAACGCGCCATGGACAAGCTCGGGATTAAGAGCCCCAAGTCGGGCACTGCCAACACGCTGCAGGTGGGTGCAAAGCGGTGCTGA